ATGGAGATCCGGACCCTCACTACCCTTCCAGCTTTCTGCAGGCCTGGGGTTAAAGACCATAACCCACCCGAATTGTATGAATGTTGTGCTTTTAATGATGTACTGTCTTATGTGTTAATTTGTTTGTTTTCCCCGCCTTTTGAATTGTAAGCCGCCCTGAGTCCCCCCAGGGAAAAGGGCGGCATATAAATAAACTACTAAACTAAACTAAACTAAACTATTGCTCTTCAGTGGATTCAATGCCATGCTCTTGATACAACTTGAGTTCACAATACACAAACCTTGTACCGCTTACAAATCATGTCCTAGAGGGCAAAATGCTTCTGTCCTTGCTCACAGGAGTCTCAGTTAATCCAAGAATTTCAAGCTGCCTGTGTGACCATTTTCATGGTAAATAGACAGAACTCTAGCTTAGGACAAATAGCAACTCACTTACGTAGTCTCAAAATTCAAATCTGAAACATGCTTGATAAATGAGTGTTTTTTTTATTTAAGCCATAATAATTGGGGCAGTTGATTTCACAAATATTAGCATTGTGAAATATCAATATGTACCTAATATTGAATACATGACAAATACATAAGAATAGATTCATATATTAGGGCTGCTATGAGAATTAATAACCTTAAATAATTACTTTTGTCCTAATAGATCCTTGAAGCTCTAGCAAAAAGTGATGAGCAATTTGTGCAAAACTGTAGCAGCTTAAATAGTATCCATGAAGTAATTCCTACCAATCTTCAGAGCAAATTCAGTGCCATTTGCAGTGAAAAAATAGAGCACATTTGCAGAAGGAATACAAGTTATAAAAAGGTAAAAGTTGTAAATTTGCTTAGAAGAAATGATAAAAATATTTAACTGGAACTAAGTATGGGTAAACGATTAAATATACTGTAAATATGTAGAATCAAAGTAAATACATAGATGGTATATAGATAGGATTTTTATGCTAAGGTATACTTCAAAATATGCTTGGGAAGGTTTCTAATCCTGCAAAGAAGATTTTAAGAGTGTACTTGTTAAATGGAACAGGATGACATAAGAATTTTTTTTTAGCAACAAACTGGGTTTATGTTTTTTGTGATTCCTGTGCAATTAAACTTTCTATGGTAGACAAAATACATTTCATTTATTGCTGGTGTATTGTAGAAAAATGTAATAATATCTGCAGGACAAGAATAGCAGGAGCATATTGGATCAAGAACAAGTACACACTGGTACAACCATGTGGAGGAGGTAGACATATTTACCGAACCTAAAGTTATAAACCCACATATTCCCCATCTGCTCGGATAAAATCTTTGAGAATCTATGAACATGATGCACAATTATTATTTTCAGAACGTTTTCTATTTGAGTGGCTGTTGGAATATGTTTTATTCTAAGGATAGTTTTGTTTTTATCTTTCAGGTAGAAACAAATTGTCAGGAATGTGATTAACTGTACTGTTAGTTTCAATGTAAAAGTTTGAAATTTATGAATAATTACACAATGGCTTTTTATTATTACCTTATTATTGCAGCATCAATTTACCTACCTGCCTATTATTTTATGGGTTATAGAATATTCAGATTAAAAAAATCAGATTTGGATATTAAATGAGAATAGAAATTGATGAATGATTGGTTATTTTTTTCACTTTTGAAAATGAAACTTGTAGTTCACTCTATTATAGTTATATGAGGTGGGAAGTGGGTAAAATTTGTGCTCATCAAAACATAGAATATGTTTAAAATCCTGTTGTGGGTGCTAAATTTGATTCTTTGTAATTGACATCTTTAAATCAATAAAGGTGTGATGTTCTCACTTATTTTGATGAAAAATACAATTTTGTGTGCAGAATTATATGTTGTGGAAACAGAAACTATGTGCAAAAATAAGAGTCTGAAACAATACTTTTCTCACATCTGAATTGCAAAAGTTATTATATAGTGCAAGCTGGAATATTTGGATTCATATAACCTTTTCCTTTTGGATTTACCTGTAGTTTTCACGGGTCCTAAAAAATCGAGCTTGGCCTACTTTCAAGCAAGCTAAGTCAAAGATCTCACCACTGCATAGCAGTGATTTCTGTCCAACCAATTGCCATATCAATGTTATGGAAGTCTCATACCCTAAAACGTCAACGTCACTTGGCAGTGCCTTTGGTGTTCAGCTTGATAGCAGAAAACATGAAAAAGAAAACAGACATATGGAGCAAGGTAAACAGCAAGGTCTATCTTTGAAAATTTGTTTCTTTCCTAGTATAACAAGAAATGAAGAGATTGGGTTAATTTTTTACATATGATTTTCCTTTTTAAATTTATTTATTTATTTGTCAGAGTCAAATGTACTCTGTAATCACTATTAATTGAAGGATTTTTATTTTGTGATCAATCTAAATTACTGCTTATTTTTTATTCCTCAAATAATTAAATGGTCATTTTATGACTGTAATAACAGGAATCTGAAAATGTTTATCTAACTCAGCTATTTTTTCATCAGAGCAAGTGTCTTATTTAAAGTGAGTGCTATTTTTGCTAAATAAGTGGCACATTTTTCTTTTAAAGTAGTCATTGAACAAGACTGAAAAAAGAGGAGTGTTGACGGCATTGTTTGTTTGCTTAATTTACTTCCCTGCCAGCTGAGAAGTAATCATAATAATTTGTGTGTCTATGTCAGCCTGTCTATTTCCGACTCTAGTTTTTACTAAAGTATGAGGAGATTTTTCAAGAATTTATGTTTTTTTCAGTATTTATATGTGTAATCATTTCTATTTTAATTCAGATTATTCTGTTTCATTAGTTTGTGGGATAATTTAAAAAAGTGAATTATGCTCGTAAAAATTAATTAATTTCATCACAAGTGTGGATTTTCAGCATTATGTTTGCTTGTGTTCTGAATGTGTACAAACTGATTATTAATTGGATTTATGAAAGTGAGCTGGATTTTTTTGCACTTAAATTAATTGAGTTATAGTGAATCTAAATACAGCATTTTATGCAATGTACTTTCTCTAGGTAAACTGAATCCCATGGTTTATATACAACATACTATAACAACCATGGCCGCTCCATCAGGTCACTCATTAGGTCAACAGGATGGCCATGGTTTAAGGTACCTATTAAAAGAAGAAGATTTAGAAACAGAAGACATCTATCAGAAACTGTTATGCAAATTACAGAGTACATTAAAGGAGATGGAAAACTGTGTTTTTCAAATAGATGAGTAAGTAATCCTAAGGTTTATGGATTGGGATATTAATGCATATATTAACTTTCTAGAACTATAGCTTTAATTTACATTTGGAAAACCATAAGTCTGTGATAAAACATTTCCATGCTGCCTTTGCATATTCAGTACTTGATATTTGTGGGATGGACAAATATTTATTTAAATATATCAAACCAATCAATAACGCCATTGATTTCATTAAGACAAGTGTAATAAAAAATAGAAGTAGCTCTGGTCTTTTGAATTTCTTCCAGTTGGAACAGACTCAGCCTTAATTTAAAACTTTAAAGTATTATGTGTGGAGTAAGTGAACAATATTTGGACAGAGTAATCCATGATTGGATGTGGTATGAGCCTAGCCACTTTAGATTCCTGCTTCTGTTTTAAGAATATGCCATGTCTGCATTTACAAATTTTCATATAAATTAGAGGTATCCATTATTTTTAATTACCTCTATTAAATTTATAAATTTCAGCCTTCTCTCTTCAATAACATATTCTTCAAGTTCACAACATACAAACCATGAATTGTTAATGTCAACAGACAGTGATAATGAAAAAGGAGAACGCAATGGAAAAAAAGTATGCTTCAATGTAGTAAGTGATGAGCAGGAAGATTCTGGTCATGACACTATAAGCAACCGGGATTCATATAGGTAATGTATCATTTAATATAATAATAACCACCAAATTTACAATTTTACTATGTATAATGATACTATGTTAATTTTAAAAAACCCTGTTACATAGCGTTATTAAGTAATTAAGTAATACATATCATTACATAGCATTATTAAGTAATACATATTGGCTATTTGTGCTTTATTTCCAAGCAAAAAGTTTTTTAATGTGTACTTTGAGGCAAACATGCCAAATTTGTACCTTCTGATTTAATATACTGATAAGAATGAAGTTTCCCATTGTCACAGCCATTCCTCTGTCTTGAATGATATTATCCTTTCTTAGAGGTCTCAGCTATTAATACATTGTCAGTGAACTTAAACCCACTTCCCTCTTCAATTGTAGCCCTTAGCACTACATTGCAAGGCTTTAAAAATATACCAGCACAAATAAGTTTTTTTACCCCAAGATAGAAATAAAATTTATTGTATGCCTTATTTAATAGTACAAATCATGCTAAGAAAGTATTTGAAAGAATTGCTTTAAAACATATATATATTCTTGAAGGATTTATACTCTTACATTTTTTCTTCTTTTTAGTGATTGCAACAGCAACCGGAATTCTACTGCTTCTTTTACCAGTATTTGCAGTAGCCAATGCAGTTCTTATTTTCATAGTGATGAAATGGATTCAGGTGCTTTTCAAATGTGTTTGTGTGTGCATATTTATATACTTATTTAGGGGAATGTATGCATGTTTTGCTTACTAGAACTCGTGTTCATTGACTTTATTTTATATAACTTGTGCACTGTCACAATTACACATTTACACAACTTAAGTCACAAAACATTACAACCCCCCCCCCAAATCACATCACAACTCATTGAAAATATGTTAGCAGTAATTAAGCAGCAATAGTATAGTATAGTATAGTATACTATATTTTTTTTCATTGTACAAAATAAATACAATGAAATTGGTTGAATGAATGAAGTAAGGATATCAATTTCCCCAAAATTAATGTATGTATTTGATGAAGTTGGAAATAGTGTCCTTCTTTCACTTAGCTGCAAGTATTTTCTTTATTCAGAAATTTCATTTCCATTTAATTGAATTGGATAGGCGAGATATATTAAACTAGTTTACCCATCATTAATGCCCATCTGTGGGGCAGACAAATTATACTTGAAAATCAGGATAGTTTTCTATAGGCTGTAGAAAGAAGAAGAACACAAAGGATGGTGTTACTAGCATACAGCTGATTTTTTTCTGTCCCACTGCAACACTTTACTTAAACTAAAGGATGAAATATGTTGGATGGATTATTACTATAAATTTGAATGAAACTGTCAGTTAAGCAGTGAGTGAAATGAAGAAAATCAGACTGGAACCAATTACCTTTTTCGAAAAAGAGGAGGAAAGCCCTACTCTGGTAGTAAACTCAGTGCCCATTCTATTTCTAGATCTTTTTCAATATAAAGATAATTCAAATATGGAATATGAATATCTCTGATCTAAAGTCAACTATGATTTCAAATATTGTCTTATTAGGTGATGAACTTCCTCAGAGCATTTGCATTTCTCATGATAAGCAGGATAAACTTTATGGTTGCTTGGAACATCTTTTTGGCCAGGTAAGCTATTTCATTTCAATTTTCTTCTACCCTGTAACATGTGACAGAGTTATGAAAGTGTTGGGAGGGAATAGGATAAGATTAGAATCAAGGTGAGCGAAGTCAGTGAGCGTCAGTCTGGCACAGTGAACAGGCAAAAAGAGGGCCATGAATAAGGTAAATCATGCTGGTTTCTGTAATGCTTTTACTATGCTATGGTTCATTTAAGCGGCAATTATGAATAGACTATAGCTCACAGGCCATATCCAAGAATAGTCATAGTTTTCAATTGGATAGACTTACACTGCGTACTAAACCGAGGCAAATAAATCACATTTCACATCTCTGCAAGGAATTAAAGTTGACTTGATACCTAACACTGGTTGAGAAAACATCAGAGTGCTTAGGTTTTTTTTTTCCATAGGCAAGCTTACTGAGTTGTTAAAAGATCTACTTTGATTCTTGTTTGGTTTTCACATTTTTGATTTGTCTACTTAGACAAAAAGTAGGTAGGTTGGTAGGTTTGTCTCCCCCAGTTCAAATAAAATACGTAATTGCAGATCTGCCACATCTCTGTTCATACTGTTTCTTCTAATAAATGCCTAGGTTTTCCCCTAGAGCATGCTATTGCCAGTTGCACTTCCGGGTTCTGGTGCATGCATGCACACTCGCCAGCTGCTCTCTTCCAGGTTGCATGTGCGCATACATGCGTGCGCTCCAGTTTTGGTACTCAGTGTCAAAAAGATTAACCATCAATGCCCTAGATCTAGCATATGTTATAGTATATTAAAGCAGATTGAAAGGATTATCAGAATAAACATTTTAATATTTATTAATTATTTCTGAATCCAACAGGTAGATTCAATTATTAATCTATTGAAAGGTCCAGCAGTGGCAAGAGCTTTTGAGCAAACTAAGTTCTTCACCCCTGGTCGAAGTTTTCAAGGTATTAATTTTGGAAAGTATGACACTGAGCGTAGTTTCTAGCACTTTTATTAGCAGAATTATAGTTAGCAATATAAAAATTAGAAATGTATTTTGTATTATATTTAGAGAACCTCTGGCTGTAAATATTTATGGGCCTTTTTTAGCATGCAGATTGCTGTGGTAGAAGAAATTGTGAAAAAAGTGAACATTAATATCCATATGTACTGGTACTTTCATTCAGATATATATGCACAAACGTATGTATGTATGTATGTATGTATGTATGTATGTATNTGATGGTCGGCCCACTTGTTTGTTAATATTTCAATATTTACTGTGTCCATAAGTAGTACTGGGTTTGACCAAACCATATCAATACGTGACCAAGAGTTATGTGGTTGAGAGTAAAACGTGTACTGTTGTATCTTATCGTTCATTGTTCGCCAGACATCATAGTTATTATTATTATATATAGCTATTTAACAAATTAGATACTCATACAGCCAATAATAAAGAGAATAGTAGGCTTTAGCCTCTAACTGCAGACCTAACAAGCATACATTGATCTGATCTTGGCCAGGATGAACATATGACAAGATGGATATTCAGCCTAAGGGTTCATTGTTCTCTGTTTTCATTTATTTTTGTGTTTTGTAACAGCTAAATATGGTGCGATATACCTTGGAGTATATTTCTTTATGAAACTATGAGCATTTAAGTAAGAGATTTCCATGATAGGAAACTGTAATATCTTATATATCCTTTGAGTGTGTAAATACTGGGTATATAACAGAAATTAGCAAATTAAGGATTTTAAAAAAGCCAAGAGCTAAATTTTCACCTCTTTTCAGAAATACTGTAAGGAAGAAGAGACATGCATGGGGGGAAATTCTTTAATTTAGCATGAGGAAGTAATAAGGTTATAATATGGTAATTTAGTGTGACATAGGATTTGAGGTTTTATAAATAACAGCTTTCAGACTGTATGGCATCCAATGCTATAAATTCTTCTCCTGAATTTATGCTGGATGAACCTTATTCAGCTGTATTGTTTGTAGCCCATAATTAATCACATTAATTTGGTATATATTTGTATAGAATAAATGCTTTAAATATGATTATGCATTTCCTTCTTCATCTAAGGGAGTGCCAACAAAATGCAATGCTTGAGGTTTTACCCTTTGGAGATTGAACAACTACATATTTAGAGTAGCCCCTGGGAAAACTGAATATTGTTTTTCTTGCATGATATTCAATGATTCAATATTTCTAGCTTGTCTTTAGTGTTGGTTCAATTTAATATAATCTGGAATTGAAAAGGAATGGCATTAAAATCAGCTGTAATATGGCTTTCCCCCCATTTCTAAGTAAATTTCTAACTTAATTTATTAATTATTTTAAAGGAACTGTGGCAGCTTCTGCTGGGCTTCATCCTGGACAGTGCATAATCAAAGTGAATGGAATTAATGTCAGCAAAGAAACACATGCAAGTGTTATTGCCCACGTGACAGCCTGCAGGAAATACAGACGTCCAATGCATGTAATGCTAATTATTTTGTTCATTACATATTTCCTTGTTTTTATTTCAGTGGCCCATAACTATTATATATCTTTGGCAGTTCATGGAAAAATATAATCAATATAACACTTCGCCATGAATGGATGGAATGTTTTTTTTTTACTTTCACATGGTTCATATTGAAAAGGTGTGAGGCTTCGTTCACAAGGAGGCCCACCATGTCAACTTTTTAAATTTGCCCTGCTATCTGAAAAAAATCTGCCATGTGACTTCATTTAGAACTGTGCTCTGTAAAAGAGTACGCATTTTTAAACTTAAAAATTAAATGTAAGGATACCATCCTTGAATATTTTACTCTTTTCCATTACTCAGGTACAATCTGCAAGTGAAACTAATGGAGATCTTGTTCTTATATCTGCAGGGTGAAAATGGAAAGGAAAAGAAAAACATATAGGCATTTTACCTAGCATTAAGTTTGTTTGATAGCTGCTCAGAGTCACCTTATTGGTCAGAAGGGCAGCATATAAATTTAATAAACAAACAAGCAAACCTTTCCTGAGAAAACAGAGACAAAACTAAAATGGACAACTTCCAGTGAACGATTTGAATATCCATCTAAAACAAAACCTTTTATGCTCTGAATATATTGTATATTATTGAGAATGACTCTATGCTCTTCCTGATTAACAATGGACTTTTGAATGGACTACCATGCTTGTTCTTATTTATTTATTTGATTTTGATCTCATTTTAATACTTTTTAAGTAACTCAAGGTGGCAAATATACATAATATGCTTTCTCCTCCTATTTTCCCTGTGAAGTGAGTTAGACTAAGAGACAGTGACTGGCCCAAAGTTACTCGGTTGGTTTTTCATGCCTAAAACAAGACTAGAACTCAAGTCTCTCAGTTTCTAGCCAAGCACCTTAACACTTACACCAAAATGGCTCTCTTTTATGAGCAAAGAATAGGATAAAGAGTTATGGGATCAGTCATGGCTTCCAATGATGCATAAATCCTGATTACTATAAAACAAATGGGCAATACTGAGATTAAAATACAGTCCTATAACACACTGATTGATTAGCCTCTTTTTAATTATTATCAAACAATTTCTGTTGATATGTTTCATAACAAATTGTTGTGAAATAAAAGCTCAACACTAGAGAAGATACAGTGATACATCATTGTATGGGACTGTATTAGGATCTGTAAATCTAAATTAGGAATTCTTCATAAATATAATTTCAATTATATTGAGAGGGAATTTCAATGCTGCAGTTAGAAAAAATAATAATACTTGATACTGGTGCTTGAGCCTCATTTTATCCTCCACATTTCCCTTTAGAGTATATATTTTAAAATCTGTCAGAATGCAAATTTGGGAAGAAGGATAATTTTGTAAATCAGTATTTGATTTTTCCCTTATTATATAAATGAAAATAACTTGATTTTTTTAAAAAAAATTCTGTCAGATACAGCTTCATATGATCAATAAAAAATAAACCGTCGACTTCAGCAGCAAACAGATAAACCCTATTCTGTTACTAGCAGCAGTGCTCTTTTCCTCCATGGAAATAAAATGCAAATTAAATCCACACTTTTTCTGTTTTTCAAAACCTATATGCATTAAAGTGTTAATGAGCCTTATAAATTATTTGTTATTCTACAGCAAGATTCTATTCAGTGGATATATAACAACACTGATAGTGCTCAGGAGGATTTTCAGAAAATGAATACTAAACCATTGGGTGAGGATGGAGGAGATACATTTAATTATAAAGTTGAAGGTGGGATTATTTCTCTTTTATTATTAATCAAAATAAAATTTTTACTGTTTCTTAAAGTATTAAAAGCAAGTATAGCATACCAGAGCAAAACAAGGCGATTGCACATCTCTCTTGAAGTGAGATGCATGCCAGCACAACTGGGATACAAACAGTATGGAATTGAGTTATTCAGATATTACTTGTCAGTTGCATGAATTAGTAACTAGTAAAGTAAAGAATGAAGAAATACAGTCATACCTTAGATATCTATGAGTTTGCTTTTGAATTCATTGGAATCTTAGAAATCATATAGTTAGCCAGTAGACAATCACAAGGAGGGTCTGAATTTTTGATCATAATAGTTTCTTAAATGACTGCAATAAATACAATGTGTTTCAGAGGTAGTCTATATTAATTAATCTACAGAATAGATTTTTTTTGTTTTTAGAAGCAATTGATAAATTTAATACTATGGCAATAATTGATGGACGAAAGGATCATGTCTGCCTGACTGTTGATAATGTTCATCTGGAATATGGTGTTGTTTATGAGTATGATAGTACTGCTGGAATAAAATGCCATGTTTTAGAAAAAATGATTGAACCAAAAGGCTTTTTCATCCTGACTGCAAAGGTATGATACATAAAACATGTATATATGTAAGTATTTTATATGTTCTTACTGAATAAAATATTAAATTATAATATTTTATTTTAAATCAGTGATTTGTACACTTTTGATGTTTATTTAAGATTATGAATCATGGTTATCTAGTAAATTCAAACCATAAGATGATAAATGCAAAAGAGGCTAAGCATCAAACTAGTCCTGAATCTTTTTTTTGTTTCGTAAAATTATGAGCTTCAACATTTCATCACCCTATTATATTTTAATAGTAGTTTTAAGAATTATTTTCTAAGAATTATTTTAATAGTAGTATTTAAGAATTACTATCATAACATTTGGCAAAACATAGGTGGAAGAACATGGTTGGTTACAAAAAAGATTTTCAGTTCTTCTATGTATGAAGAATACCTAATCTGATGTTTTAAGGGATGCAGTGGCTAAGACGGCGAGCTTGTCGATCAGAAAGGTAGGCAGTTCAGTGGTTTGAATCCTTAGCGCCGCATAACTGAGTGAGCTCCCGTTACTTGTCTTAGCTTCTGCCAACCTAGCAGTTCGAAAGCATGTAAAAATGCAAGTAGAAAAATAGGAACCACCTTTGGTAGGAAGGTAACAGCATTCTGTGCGCCTTTGGCATTTAGTCATGCCAGCCCCATGACCATAGAGACGTTTTTGGACATCACTCGCTCTTTGGCTTTGAAACAGAGATGAGCACCGCCCCCTAGAGTCAGGAGCGACTAGCATATATGTGCGAGGGGAAACTTTACCTTTACCTTTAATCTGATGTTTAACTAGTTGTTCAGAACAACACAACTACAAATAATTTATGTAATAAACAAGGAGGATGAGATTGTGTGATGTTAGAAGGAAGAAGATACATTAAATTATCTTAAAGGTGTTATTAGTGTATGATCAAATGATAATGCTCTAAATATAGATGATATAAAGAGAATTAAAATGCCGAAGAAGAAAAAATATCTGTTTCGCCCTCCCATTTGTCTCAATGTTACCTAAATCATCACAATATAATAATATAATAATATTATTATATTATTGTATGCAGTTAATATTCTTCCATTCCAGGATTCCATTTCACACAAAGGATAAATCTTCGCCTCTTTTTCTTTCTCTCAATATTGAGTCCATTATTTGATTAGCTTGCTGGCATTAATAGGGATGTATCTATAGTATGTGTCATCAGTGGAAATTGTCAGTTCTTCGGTTATTTCAGTATCAAATGGTATTGTAAGAGGATCTCTTGACATTTGATAATTTATCAGAATTCAAAAAATAATTGGCTCGTCAATGCAGTTTGCAGACTTACTGGAATTCTTTTTTCTAATAATTTGAAAACCATGAAAAAGTAACCCTTCAGAACAGACTTAACAAATTTATCCTTACTCCAAAACATTATTCTATTGCTAGACTGTAACAATATATACAACTGCTGCTTCCCCTCCCTCCATCCTCAGTATACTGTGATGTTGCCTCCATTTTCTTGCCATTGTTTTTTAACTGTGTCACATTTCATTTATTTTATTTCTTTAAATTTATATGCTACCCATCTCACTCTCCAAAGTGACTCTGGGCGCTGTTGCTGCAGCTGCCATCTCCTTGCTCCCTAACTTTGGAAAGTGCTACACTGGCTTGTCTCCTATGTAGACCTTTGGATGATGCTGAGGAAAGGAGGAGGTGGAAAAAAATCTACTTTTCTAAACTCCTTCCTGCAAGTATGATATTGGATAAAATCTTACTTGTTTTAAAAGAGATTCCTTGTGGAACTTATCTAAGGATGGGAAATTGACAGGACTAATGCACAAAGTATTTGGCCAGCTGAATTGATTTATATTATTAGAGTCAAAGTAAATACTATTTGCTTATATTTCTAATATAAATGGTCTTAGCTTAAGAATAAAATGTTTGTATAATATATCATACATCATAATATATGCAGAGGTTTTTGCAAGTCTGTTTCAGTTGCTCCATCCCTTATCTGCCTATTTCCTATCCATAATAATTGCTTGTTCTGTTAACTAAATCTATAGACAGTTTTTCCTAAATTACAGAGGACAGAAAGAAGGACAAATCACTTTCTTGAACAGCTTAGATATCCTGCACCTTGGTCATGTTTCTATGTGCTGTCATTCTAGGACTGTTTTCAATAAAGCTCAGTTCCTTCCACTAATCAAATATATTATGCAGATATTCCTTCCTGACTCTACTCGTACTTGCTACATCCTTAGATGTTCCTTCTTTCTTGTAGGAGCATTCTCTTATGATATACTGCCTATTGCCTAAGACCGAGTGGCTGTTGTGTTTCCCTCCCACCAATTCGGCAAGTATTCCATCTCTCAGGCTGGGGGGTCAAATATTACGCCCCTCAGACAGGGTCCGCGACTTGGGAGTCCTCCTGGATCCACAGCTGACTTTTGAACACCATTTGTCAGCTGTGACCAGGGGAGCATTTGCCCAGGTTCGCCTGGTGCACCAGTTGCGCCCCTACCTGAACCGGGAG